AGGAATGCAGTTTGTCAAACACGTTGTGTCTGAAATCCTTTGTTGGTAGAAGTGGAGAGAAAGAGATTATAAAATGCCTCAAAACCTTCAGTAAGGCCGTTCCCAGGTTTCTTGTGTCTGTTCATCCAAACAAAACATTCATACCTCACTTTTATGTATAGGACAGTATAGTATAGTAGGTATCGCATCTTCCATTAGCATGTTTTCTAGGCTCCAGTTTACAGAGGGCAAATTATTTTGTGCTATGGCAAGTTTTTAGGCTCCTTAAGGTTGAAAAGTTTGTGGATTTAGAAGAGATAAATGTGTCAGTTCTCTATAATGTGGTTTTCATAGGCAGAGAGACTTAAGATCCTGATTTTTTTCTAGGCAAGATCAACAATAATTCCCTGTCTGACTGGTGATGTGTATTTTTCATTGGTCTGCTAATACAAACCTTTCTGAGGTATAGCCAAGCAGTGCAAATAACTTCTGAAGCTGCTAGCTTCTGTCAGCCTGAGGGAATGTCTGACTGACTTTCTATGACATTTACTCCTCAGATATTTGTGCACAGTATTTCTCAGTAGCTGCCTTGTGTGCTAATCCTTTTATATGTGTTTGATTAAAAACTGTTCTGTGCACTGAGAGAGAGACTTTTGCCCAATTCATCAGAAAACCTCAACATTTAAAATAGTGGAAAGTGTGAGCCCAGCCTAAGCACAAATGCAGTGTGTATAGATGCTGGAGATGGCAGATAGGTTCGTGTAACTTCCGCAAGAAGAGAGATGCTCGTCTTTGTTTTTGCCTCTGGAATCAGAAACAACCATGAGAAACCACTTATTTATGATATGTCATCATTGTAGGTTTAAATTGAACTTTTTACAGAATAGGTTGGAGTAGCCATGTTACAAAATGACAAATGAGCTGCTGAGTCCACATTGATGCTGCCTTCGCTACTGTTTTGGGGAAGACATGCCGTTTTCACATTCGTAAGCTGAATTACACCATGAATTCTCTGTCAGTGTACCCTTGGAGAATTTGTCTCTCCTTTCTAGGTTAGATACCCTAGGGGCAGCCTGGGAAGGCTTTGTGATGCAAATTTAGCTATCCTTCGTTCACACGAGGAATGTTAGGTGTTGACCCATAAGGACTGAGTTCAAGATTTCTGTGAATATGCAGGATTTGAATTAACGTGGTAATGAAAGCCTCTAAGAGCATCAGGTGCATTCAAAATCTAAATAACTTTCATGGTTTAGAAACCTAAAATTAGCCCTATGACAATTAAAAGAAAGCTGATTGATATTGGTCATCAGTGTAAATATTAACATGAATTCATCCACGGCACTTAGACTTTTATTGAACAGCTGGTATGTTTTGTTTAATATACTCAAAGAGAAAAGTAATAATAGGTTTGTTGGAGATTGGCTGCACTTACTGTGGATACACAGATAATTGAGATGTATAACAAACAGTGAAGAAACAGCTCCAAGCACAAACACTCTGATATGATCCTTAGTAGATGCATCATCTGAAAAAAATGTTTTGTGTATTAGAGATTATCTAACACGTTAAGAGACAAATAAAAATGCACCAGGGGGTAAAAACCATGCAATTAATTTAGGGGAAAAATAACAGTGAGCTCAATTATTCAACTCTGATAATCACCTGCGGGACAGAAAACTTCCTGGAGTATCCTTTGAATCCACTGTATTCTCATGGAAAAATAGAAGAGAGGAATGGAATAAGGAAACCCAAATTCCTGTGTTTCTGCATTCAGCAAAGATGCCCTATAGTCCATAATAGTCCTCACTATATTTGCCCCAAGGAAGGTATATGCTGCTAGTCTTCAGTATGCTGTAGAATTTCTCAGCTCTTTTCTTTTTGCAATAAGAATTTTTATAAAGGTATAAACAAATGCAGATAATCCTCCATGCATTTTCCATTATCTCTGCAGTTGCTAAATACTTTTGTTTGAGTTAGGAAAATGTATTCTGTTACTTTTATGGGTTTTGAAAGTATAAATGTGGGTACCTGTGTTCTTTTCTGAGGTCACAGTGCACCTAGGTACAAGGCTGTAATTTCTTGTGGGATGAGGATGCTGGCATTCTAATGTTTTTAAATCCATGCAGGTCCTTTGCCTGCTCATACAATATCACTAAAGACTTTAAATGTTATAGTCGCAAAATGTACATTACTATAATGTTTAAGTGTGAAACACAGCTGTAATTCATCCCAGTGGTAGGCAGTTTTGCCCTTTATTATGCTGCTTTTTTGATTATATGCCTCTTACTTCAGTTACAGTCTTTTGCCTTGTGGATCTCTGCCCAGATGCAAGATAAAAATTACAGTGACACTGGAGGACTGGATGTGTATAATTGAGGATAATTGTTTTACAATTTTATTATGGTACTAATATTTTCCATTTTTCTTTCTCTCTTTTACAGAGGGTATGAACTGTATGAACAAAGATCATGGGTGTGCACACATCTGCCGGGAGACGCCCAAAGGTGGGGTTGCCTGTGAATGTAGGCCTGGCTTTGAACTTGCCAAAAACCAGAAGGACTGCAAATGTAGGTAGATGAAGATTAAATTTCAAATGCCCCTAAATGTCTTATTTTCTTCATTGTTTTTATTTTCCAGAATTTGAGAACTCAACTTATTTTTGGCCAAAGGTGATTGGTAGCTTTAGTAATCTGTGTTCTTTCTGTAAAGGGATCACTTGGGGATGGATAAGAGGGATTGAATAATAGAACTTAGAAGTCTTACTAAGACAGTATCAACTTTTCTACCTTCCCATGAATGCAGAAAGTGAGAGATCAGTTTAATCTAGACTTTCCTTGTAAAGCAGAAAAAAAAGAAGCATAGAGGATTCCAACTTTCAGTATTTTGAAGTTCCATAATGATGAATGAGTTGATAAATCTGCTAATGGCTTTAATGATAAATCTGTTAGAGATTTTTTTAAAATAAAGAAGTGTTTGCTATAGTCCTGTATAATATAAACTGTTCCTAAAAACAAGCAAACAAGCAAACAAACAAACAAACAGAGTCAGGTATTCTAGAAGCTGGGATACTGAAGAAAGATATGCATCACCCAACAGAATTGGAAGCAGCAATTTTTCTGTGTAGGTTAAAATAATTGACCCTCTGTAACAGCTTCATCTGAAAGCTTCTGAAGTGCATGAGAGTCTTTATGCTGGCTTCAGTGGGTGTTGGATCTGACCCTGTCAGAACAGCTTGCTTTCCTACCTGTTAGATTTGAGAGAGAAAAAAAAGAGAGAATGCAATAACTGCAGTGAAATGACATAAAGCATGCTTCATGCTTTGCATAGGGACAGTATTTTTTGTCATAATCTTTCTTCCACACCAGCTTTTTTCTTCCTGAGATCTCTATTGTTTAAAAATGCTAAGATGATGTTTTCCTAAGTATGAAGCCAAAAGGATCACCTCTGAGTATCACCAAAAAATGCCACAAGATATTGCACAGCCCGATTGCTCCTCAGTATTTAAGAGGCTATCCAGGGGGAAAGTCAAAAGCACAGGGAAAATAGCTTTTATGGTCATTTTCGTTCTCAGTGTTTATTAGAAGTGAACATTGCGTTCTCTTCTTTTCTCTCTGCAACATCAGCTACATTGGTAAAGTGGGAGAGGATGTTTACTTATGCTGTTTATTATTTGTTTGCACACATTTGTACATTCCTTAGGAATTGCGTTACCCCTTTTCATAGGGAGATGGTGACAGGAGAATTAGGGCCTCTTCTAGAACAGTATTTCTAAATGCCTCAAAGTTTAATGGAGTAAAATGCTTGGATTTATTCAATGCCCTACAGAGTTCAAATTGTAGTTTGAATTATAATGAACTTTTGCTGACAGTCTTCTAAGTAGGGATGCTCAGTTTTTCAATGCCACGGAGCTTACTGCAGAATACACCAAATCCTAAACCCACAGCACATTCTGCAAATATGTTCCAGAGTCTTATTTTAAAAAATATATACTTCTAGACCTTCCAAGTGCAAAGATGTAAAAAGCTGTAGCCAGATGCCCTGGAGCAATAATTTTGAGAATTCAGCAGGCTCATTCCTCTTTATAAAGGTCTAGTTCTGAGGCTGAATGTTGGCTTTTTAAAAACTTTTTCACAGTTGACCATTTTAGTGGAGTTGGCTTAAATCCTTAGCTGCAGCTTTGCAAGTACTGAGTACAGCTACACTGAGGAGCTGCAGAGAAGACATCTGCCCCTTGTCAGGCTGGGTTGGGTTTGTATCCCTGGTATTGCCAGAGATTAAAACAGCTTCAAAGTTTCCCTCAAGCATTTTAATTTATAATGATCCCTCCAGGAGACTGCCTTTCAGGGTTTATCAGAGCTTGCTTCCTTGTTTCTTTATGTGAACAGTTGCAGAGAACCAGTATCTCACTAGGTGAATTTTTATCAGCTGGTTTGCAACTGCGTCGGAATCCTAGGAGAGATTTTCAGAAGCACTCAGGGTTGACCCAAGTCCACTACTAATGAGACGTGTGTGTTTCTCAGAGGAAAAAAGATGTTAAAAGAACTCTGAAGTTTGAAAGCAGAAAAAATTGGAAGGAGGCTCCCTGCTTTTTATGCATGCGTTCCATGATTGTGTCATTACATCCTAATTACATGATCACATATCACTTCATTGCATGCTAATAAGGCAGTCACTGTAGGTGTCTTGCTTCATTCAGTGGACAGGATGGTCAGTGCTCATTAAATAGGCTTTTGTTCAACAGTTTCTTCTCCTTCATAATTCAGTGTTTATGCCTTGCCCACTGCACAGTATTCAAACTCTGCTCTGAACATAAAATTTTTAATTTCCTCATGGATTTTCCCATGGTACTCATTACTGTAATATCTGAGTGCTTCCTAGACATTGTTAATGTATCTTCAGAACATTCTTGTCAGGTTAAAAAGTACTGTTTTGCCTGCCTTACAAATGGACAATGTATAAAATGATGTTAATGTCAAAGCCATTTAGCAGTGATTGGTGATTAACAAGAGACACCCAGAACCCCACTTAGCATTTATAGCACATAGTATGATCAAAGCCAAGCTCCCAATGGCTCCAGCTGTACTTGCAAATGCCAGGGAGACAGGAACACTTTATTAGTAACCTGTAACAGATGTGATTTAAGTGGCCTGCACAGCCCCGAGTAGGAATTCCATGGCAGAGGCAGAAATACAATTGAGTTTTCTAGGGCTGTGTTCACTGTCTGAATAAAGACCATCCGTTCTTGCCCATGTCTTGCCTTCTGATTTACTCAAGCTGCAGCAAATAAGACAGGGATTCACCAGTGAGATTCCCCAGACCTAATTTTCCCCAGCTGCACTTGTGTGCTGAATGAGGCAGGAGTGTTTTCTGCATCTGTCATTAAGGATGGTTATCGCGATATGAAAAGCCTGTGGACCATGTAAAAGTCTGGTATTTGGTAGCTTTTGAGTGCTTAATATTGCAATCTTAATTTTTGTTAATATGATTTTTAAACAAGCAAGTTAACAGTTACAAAAAGAAACTCTTGCCCACGACCCTAGGAAACCATGGAAACATTCAGGTTGGGAGGGACCTCAGGAGGTCATCTAGAAATACATCAAACAGAACCATGCACATCCTTATATAATTCAGCAGCAGAGCTGCATCCTTCAGATCCAAAGCAGCAGTAAACTACCATCTTCTCTGTACACAGGCAATGAGATCATGTCAGTGATTTTCATAGATGTTTGCTGGCAGCAGAAGGATGAGACTTAAGCATTCTGAATTTGATTCCAGGTTACAGAGGAAACACGTGGGTGCTGACCCCCTATTTCTGACATCCCTGTTATTTTTCAAGTTCCTGTTTTTGAGCAGGATAAGATTTTTTTCTCCAAAGCATGGACAAAACAAGGGTTTTTTTTGTTAATTTAATTATTAGCTGAATCAGTTTAGCTGGAACTTGAGAAAGGAAGAAGAAACCTAGAGCAGACCCTCAAGCATGTAAGTTGCTACCTGAATGGATTAATTCTGGCAGAGTTATAAGCAAGTAAAAGCTGAGTCTTTCAATGGAAAATACTGAATAATCTTAACTACAACTATTTCTACCAGCCCCCTCTTATAATAGTGATTTAAGTGAGCAGGATGGCTAGTGCTAAGTAATTCCAAAAATCCTGTCCAGTATATTTTGTTTACAAAATAGAATGCCCTTCTACCTATGCCAAGTGCCAGCTTTTCAGCTGCTGCTGACAGTATTCACATGCAGCTTATTAGCTGTCAGTATAGAGGTCTGCAGAATGTTAAAAATGCAAGGCCATAGTAGAATAAATAATGCAAGCAGTGCATTCATAGCTTTATCTCATAGAAAGAGGTGTCCATAATTTTATATGAATTATATGTTTAATGGTGAATTTAGTTAAATAACATGGCAATTCTAAATTTATCTGGAATTCTAATGTGCTGGTTCAGGCTGTCACAGAAAGTTAGGCTAGAAAAAAAAGATTTAACTTGTTGCAAATTCTGTGGCATCTGAGCAGTGCTACACATCTCATCTGCATGGGAAGCAAGAGCAGGATTGCATTATCTTAGAAGGGAGTTAGGTTGTTGGGTACTAAATACTGCTTCCAGTATTTGGCCATACTTTAAATACAGCTCTGTGCAATAAGCTACTTCAGGATATTAATACGGTTTAAAATTTAAACTGGCATAACTTCTTACGTGAGCTTTCTTCCTAAAGGCACTTCCGTGCATCCCCTTCTTCAAACTACCTACACAACCTCTGTCTTTGGATCACTGTGGGTTTGATTTGAAATAATAATTAGTTCTTGGAAAAGCCTAGGTTTGTAGATAAGTCATGTCTGACCTGGAGACACCTCATGCACATGTATTTAAACAGTAGGATAATATTTATTAATGCTACTCTATCAAGCACCTGAAAGTTAAGATGAATGACATTGTCTGCACAGTGCAGGCATCTTGTGCATGGACCTTATATAATCTGTACACAGTAGTTCAGTACAGGAATCAGATGCCTTTTTGAGTCTGGGAATATTCTGCCTTTTTTTTTCCTTTTGACACTCCTAATCACAGACAAGTCACATGGGAGAGAGCAGAAAAAGGGTAATATGAAAGTTCAGAGAAGCACTGAAGGCAGGATCTAGGCTGGAGAGCCAGGCTGAATTCTAGTATTTTCTATCTTCTGAGGGGTCAAACTTGAAACATCAATAGCATTAATTATTGGAATATGTATGTTAAAAGCCTTCTGTTCTTTAAATGTGTCATTCTTCTTCCAAACAATTGTTCTGTGTCTTTCATCATCAAAATGTCATTTCAAGACTAGTCCATATTTTTCTCTGGATGTAAACACTGGCCCACATGCTAAGCTGTGTCTCAGAGATGCTTAGCACAGCCCAAGCAGGGCATCCTCCTGGCTAAACCAAATAAATGCTGCTGCTGCTGCAGTGCGGGCAGAAGAACAAGTAGGAGGATTATGCCACACTGCCTGCTTGCAGACCTTGAAAGCGGCTGGCCAAGTCAGGAGCCTGGGTGCAGTAGTCAATGGAAAGAACTAACCTTGTTTGGAAGGCAGTTTGAAGCACCAGTCTCAGGACTTTGGCTCAGGGTCCCCCATTGCTCTTCATTCAGAGTAGAAAGAGTCTTGGGAGAACGCACTGGTAACTTGGTCACTGCCGTTATTTACCTCATATAGATGATGTGTATCTTTGTAGGGCTTGGGCGTTGTTTTTGCTCATGTTTCTAGCAAGGAGCTTTCCCTGGCCTTCTCTATGGATGCTGCTTTTAGCCAATTGTACAGAGTATTTCCCCCACAGATGCAGAAGCCAGGTCAAGATTTTGCCAGTAAGGCATTCTGATATCTCTGCCTATCTATATCATCTATTTTAATTATAATGCCATAAATACTAGGGTAAAGAACAGGGCACCTTGACTGCACTTCAGACATATGTGAATGCTGAACCATTGTTGAAAGCAGTGGTGTTATTCTGGTTTTAAATCTGCTGTGTGGGTATAAGTATGTCTGGATTCTAACAGATATGTGTATGCTGTCGTTTGGTAGGAAACGTTAACCCCTCTTTTGCATCCCTTTTGTTGTAATAACATGATTTATAGTATTTGAAGGTAATTTGTTTCTGTCAGAAGCGTACCATCAGGGTTATTAGGTCAAAATATTCTCCTTCTTTTTATTTCCTTCTTTAATGTCACAGACTGAACAAGCACACGCTAAGTCTTCTGCATAGCTGTAGAGTACAAATTTATATGAAATAATTTTTAAAAGAAAACTTTGGGATTTTTCATGCATTTTGCTTTAACACTTTCTGATAAGAATGGAGTAGATCTGGGTTTTCCCTTGCCTTTAAAGAATTTTTATTTTTTCCTTTAACCAAGAGAAACTTCTCATTGTGTCACTGTTGCAGACTTAAAGCTTGAGGAGAGTTGAAATGATACATTTTACAACTGGATTTTGTACAGATTTCACCTGCAGGGCTGACAGGCTCCAGAGTTTTGTCGTGAGCTGCTAAAAAGAAAAGCAAGCTGGTCTAGACAGAAGTTCAAATCCCTCAGAAGCGTGGTTAAGTAATATTTGTAAGAGACAGGCAAATGAACTGACCTACATCTATGCTCGTTGATTGAGTGGAAAAGAATCCACTTTACTATAGTAACTAGTAAATTTTACTAGTAACTGTAGTTACTAGTAGCTTTACTTTACATAAATAAAACAGATATATAAAACAAGTGTGTGGTTCTGCAGGATTTAATATAAACAGCATCAGTCTAGTGCAATTTTTAATAGACAAATATAATAAGGAAAAGTCCCCTATATTACACTGGTCAGAGAAAACATATAGATACTTTCATCTCTGCTGGGGGAGGCTTTTAGCAAAGAATGGCAAAAATAACTGCTGCAGTCGTGTTGTTTAGAATACACACTTTGTTGCTGATTGTGCTTTAAAGTACTTAATAGAAATACTGTTGGCTAGAAATGTGTTTAAACACCTTGTATAAACAGCACCTTCATGTTAATTTGTGATGACACTGCAGCCCAGCAGGAGTAGAAACACTGAGTGAGCTTGCAAGTAGTCCAACAGGCATGTAGCGCTGAGAAGGAGCGGAGGATAGTGGATGGAAATTACTTTACCCTAGATTAGCTCTGCCAGTGTGTGCCCATGACTCTGGATAAAAGTGAGCAGCTACCTTCCATGCCGCTCACTGCCCCAGCTCTATCACATCCCTAACACGGCTGGCTATAAGGGCAGCTCATGTGTGGCCAGCTGATTCAAACATCCTCCATCTGCTGCTTTAGCTTTCATCTAGGCTGCAAAACTGTGTATGATCTACCCCCAGACTAACCAAGAAGTGTTACTGTTGCACACACAATGGGGCATAGAGAAGGAAGGGCAGAAAGGAAGCAAAGAACAACTAAAAACAATTGCAAAACAGTGAATGGGCAAAAGGAAGAGAGATGAATAAGGACTGGCATAGCATTGAGCAAGGAAGTGATTTTTCAGCCTGACTACATTAAAAAGGCTGGCGGTTTAAGAAAGGAGAATTGACCTAATTTTTAAGATTTGGTTTTGCATCAAAAATAAAACCCGAAATGTTATTGTGTGTGGAAAGAAATGAAACACCGCTTCCACCTGATGCAAAGCAGAATGATTTGTTTGATGTATTTTTCAGGAAAAAAAATTAATGGGTAAGTTCATAAAACTGGAGGAAAAGAAAGAATGCCTGGGGGATGGTTGTCGTTTGGGCAGCTTCTTTAATGTAACTCCTTGGAATTTTGGGATTCTCACGGTTTGGGACGCGCGAGTTCAATTCCCTCCTCTCTCTGCTAGGCCTGAATTCGTAATTCTCATTTCTTAGCATAGTGCCCAAGCTGTCAAGCTCCAGTAAGGAAATCTGGATTGGGCTGCACTCCATCTTTCTCACTGCCATTCTTTCCACATGAGTAAAGTTCTGATATTTCTGGTTGCAGAAGCAGGAATCCATGTGGGCCATCTTCTCTGTGACTGTTCTTACCACTAGGCCTAGAGTGTTGCCTTGCAATCTGTGAATAACACGAATTTTATTCAAATCGTACAATGCGGAGGTGTGAAGGATGAAGGATGCTTGAATGCATGGTAGCCTCTGGCCTGCACTCACTTGGGAAATGGGCAGTCTCGGTTGTGATCTTTGCTAGGCCTCAGGGGCCATGGGTCCATGAACTGGAGGTTCCTACTCAGGCGAGTGGTTTTAATGGGAATTCTGTTGGATATGTTAATGTGGGTCTCCCTAATTTATTTTGCTGGAGTTGTTCCATTTTAAACAAAATAATTCAGTAATTACTGAAAGTAGTGATACTCTCCAACACTGGCACACTCACCCAAGAGGTGGAATATTTCAGTTTCAGTTACTGTCACTGAAAACTCCAGTCTACTCCATTTTATTAAGCTCGTGTTAAAGCAAAGTTATTGAGGTTGGGAGGAAATGATATTTGTCTACTGGAAAGCAGATTTAAGTTTAGGTTTAGATGCCTGATTTTAAAATCCTGTTCAGAATTATCTTGGCTTTACTGTATAGTGGAATTTGCCCCTCTGGATCCTTTATAAACTCTCTTATCTAGGAGAGGATTTCTGATAAAGACCTAAGTGAAGAAGTTCCTTCTGATAAACAGGAGTCAGTATTTAAATTTCTAGAACATTTCAAAACATTCAAGTCCTCTGAAATGAGGAGTATGATATAGCTGAATAATGGGACATGGGATTTCCCCTCTACCTGTCAATGTAGATATACCTGTAAAGAACCCGATTCTTGTGCACAGGAATTACCTGTATATGAAGACAGTAAATTGAATTAAGAATTGTTTTATTTAGCATCACACTATGAAACTGTAAAGGACTAAACAGAATAGGGGCAAATTAGAGCTGTGGTGTACCAGCTTATTATTTAAAAACTGGTTTGCCGTAAGAGTCAGAGATTAAATCCATCCTGTAATAAAGTGGATTGAATCTGACGTATTAATTCCTGGAAACTGCAAAATTCTACCTATCTGAAAAAATGTTGACTTTAATGTATGTTTAGTATTTTTTTCACTAGAGGACATTTTTAGTAGTTGCAATCAATTTTACATTGTACGCATGCAAGTGGAAGCGCCATCACCAGGGGTTCCTTCCTAGCTGAAGCCAGTACACTGTATGGCCATAACAAGAGTATATTTTTTGTTTCAGTAAAGAAAAGGAAAAAAAAGAAAATAATATGTTTCCTGGCTTATATGTAAACATTCTTCTACTCTAGGAGGACTAGTATTTGAAATAATAGATTTCAAGACGTATAGGTTTTTGCTCTTGCTCTTTGGGTCTCTGCTTCCTCCAGATAGGAAGTGAAGGAGAACGAGAAGAAAAACGCGGTCTATAGACTTGAAAATATATGTCTATATTAGTAGGCTGCTCATATCTTCATGCCATATACATCACGGATATGAAGAATGTAGCTTTTAGGAACAGATGAAATTGGCTGATCATTCATGCTAAAGCTACTAATCCACACAGACTGGGGGAAAAGTACTTCATTCTTCTTTCTTTCTATCTTTCTTCTTTCCTTCCTTCCTTTTTCTCTCTTCCTCCCTCTCCCCTCCCCTCCTCTCCCCTCCTCTCCTCTCTTTTTTCTTTTCTTTCTTCTCCTTTTCTCATTTGTTGATTTTTTTCTTCCTTCCCTCCTTCCTTCCTTCCCTCCTTCCTTTTTGCACTGGGTGGATGGAGAGCAGAGCATGAGGCAGGAGTGTGGCTAAGGTAATGGGGCTCAGAGAGAGAATACGGGAATGCATATGTCTTCAAATACAAATGTTTTGTTGCCTTATGTCTTGGTTTGTTACTGCTCTTCTACATTCTGAAAGGCCCTCAAAACTAATTGGTTTCATTGTCATTTTATTTATATATATAAATATACACATTCATTTGGGGCATAACTAGTAACCTGTAACTATGGGAATGGAGGCTGCCAGCACACCTGTGATGACACAGATACTGGTCCTGTGTGTGGCTGTCATCAGAAGTATGCCCTGCATTCAGATGGCCGAACCTGCATTGGTAAGTACTTCTCTACAGCACATTTTATTCTGTATTCCTCATAGAATATGTATGTGCACGTAGGTGCGTGTATGTGTGTGTGCACGCATGTGTATTTGTATCTCACCAGAGTTTAGCGGCATCGCTGAGAGGAATGTGTAATTGCAGTTCCTGGCCATAGCAGCTAAGGTCTCACGATATATAGACAGAAGCAGTTGTGCATGTTTTGTTGAAATGTTTGTTAATGAAGTATCCCTTTGTTACTCCTTTGTAACTTTTGTTTGTCTTTTTATAAACCTAATAATTTCTAAAATAAAAAAGTATAAAATATTCATAATTATGACTGAAAGTTCAGCTTTTCCCTTCATTTTCATGATTCAGACTTCCTTGGGTGAGTATGATGAGGAGAATGATCCTCATTTTCTAAACTGTGATTGGGGAAAATTAATCATCGTGATATGCTTTCTTCCATGTCATATTTTTTATGAGCCTAAAAAGTACAGCACTTGTAGTGAATATGCTTTCACTAAGATTGTCAGTGGGAAAAAGTGATACAAGAGATGAAGTGTCTTGGAAGATGTTATGCAAATATTTATGATTATAAAATATATTATTTGCTTAACACTGTTTCTTTCCAGTCTTCATTTTTTTTAAATAAAAAGGGATGATTTTGTATACTGTAAGTTAACATTTGAAAACTCTTACTCTCAGATCAGAACATAAACCCATAATGGTTTTCATTAGCGGTGTGGCCATGTTGACTTTTTTTTGTTTGTTTGATTTCACATTCGTATGAATTTATAGGAATTTCCTGAAATGGAAAAAAAAAAAAGAAAGGGACACATATTTATCATCTTTTCTCTCATTTATCAATACTGCAAGACACAAAGCACGTGATCTAAAACCCATGGAAATCTATCATTTATCTTTAGCGATCTTCTGGTCACATCCATGGATCTTGATCTTGTAGTAAGATCTAAGCATTAAATTCAATGGCTGCACAGAGCTTCATTCACTTCTGATGGGTTTGATTACACATGGTTGTATGGTGGGACCAGTGTTATACTGGTAGAGGTAGAGCTGAACAAGGTTCAACACTGGACTGTGCCTTGCTGTATACACAAGCTATATGTCCGTTTACGAGATCTCTCAGCTAGTACTTTTTGATTAACACAGTGGGCTCAGTCTTGCAGTCCCCCTATTTAAATAACTCTCTCTGAAATCTGTGGCAGTTCCAGCTGTGGAGAACTTGCTATAGAGTGAGAGCCTTGAGAGCAGGTTTTATTGAATGGATAATTGATCTCCTATTTCTCAGTGTTCACTAATATCCTCAGATTGATGTTTTAAATTGTTCAGCATGTAAAAACGATTTTAAAAGCTGTATACACTGCACCTGATTTTTTTTTTAGTTTTTTTTCCCATTTTTGTAATGTAATACATACAACTCCATGTTACATTCCTTGGTCTTGTGATGTAAGTCACATATTACTGCCTGTGCTGATTTTCTTCCCTCTAAGTAGCTCTTTCTCTTAGAATACTTTTTTTTTTTTTTTTACATTTTTATTCCTGCTTTCTGGTGATGGTTCCTGATTGCCTGTCTTGTCTGATAACTGACGTTCATTAATTATTTACAGAGCAAAATAAAAAAAAACTCAAACAAAAGCCTCTATTGCAGCCTGATCCCATCTAGAACTTGTTAAAAACAAAACAAAACAACTTCTTGTTACTACTCAACCATGTAGTTTTGCCACAAATAAAACCTGCCAGCCTCCTCCTCCTCACTTCAGTGATTCCAGTGTTTGCTGTCTTCAGTGGTGTATATATTCTGGGCATCACTGCAAGAATGCAAACTTCTGCAATGCCAGATAAATACTTTTTGACCCTTTGTCTAACACATTTTGTCTTTGTTTGCTTGACTTATCCTTTTATTTTATTTTTTATGTTTGCTGCATGTGAAAGTCCCCACTTGCATTTTGTTTTTCTAATAAAGCAATTCCCTCTCTGTATAAATCATTTTATTTACCCAGCTGCTGCTTTTCCATCACTCTCCTGTATGAGAAATCTTTATTTTTGCTTCACTTACTGATCACTCTTGCCACTGTTGTGACTGTTTCTGTGTATTTCTAATGAAGCATAACCAAAGTCCTCATTATGCTGTATGACACTCTTACATATAGGATATCAGAAACTACCTTGTAAAATGACCTTTGCTGACATCATCTTGCTTACTGCATGCTTATAAAATTACTAAACCCTGTTCTTGCAACATCTTTTCTAGCATTGAATGTTTAGCTAGTAGTGTTTCATAGACAAGCAGGCAACCAGCACTGCCCAAACTGATCTTTTTTGTGTTTGTTTGGTTTGTTGTTTGTTTATTTTTGTTGTTGTTTTTGTTTAATTTGCATGCTGTTGTTTGGTTCCGTTTCACGCTGTGTCACTGCGTACAAGACTATGGTGCATCCATGCCCATCCATCACCGGACTCTTCTAGCTCTCTGTCTGTCTGTCTTGGTCTTCTGCCTGCCAACTTCAGATCCTGATGCCACCATTAGCCTGAGTCACTTTACAGTTTGTCTTTAATAGTTTGTGTAACTAGCATCCTTGGATTTTAATTTCCATCATTAACACCTCTCTGGGGCACTCATGTTAGCTCTCTTGTTCTCTAGTAGGAATCCAGCTTCGTGTATGTGGTTAATTACTTGGTAGTTGACCATTCTTCCTCCTCCTGCTCTTTCTTCCTCCTTCCCCCAAACACCCTTTAATTTTTTTCCTGAGGTCTCAAAGGGAATTAACTCTCTAACGGGGATTTAGTGCTTTCATGCCTTGCTTCTTGGCTTTGGCTGTGCCATGCCAAGAAACTGTCTTAGGCAGCGGAAAATTGGGCTTGTGATTAACCAACTGCTCCATGTTTGTCCCTTACTTGTGTTTTAGAGAAGGATGAGGCTGCAATTGAGAGTTCTGAGTACAATGCCACGTCAGTAGCTGATGTGGACAAGCGGGTGAAACGGCGGCTACTTATGGGTAACACTTTTCTTCCACTTCCTTTGTTGTGCTCTCACTTTTGTCTGTATGTGTGTGTGGGGGGAGGTTCTCTTTTGGTCTCATTTGGTTCTTTGGTTTTGGTTTAGTTTTTTTTCAGTTGATTTCATCTGTGTGGAAAGGTCACCAATTTTGTTAAGTTCTCATCTGTTGTACAACTTCATTTCTTGGTTTTAAACTTTTTTTCCTAATGCTGCAGCTGTGATATTCAATTTCTTCTGCGTAGAAAGAAGCTTTTGCCATTAACCTTACTTACCTTATGCAAGCTACTTCTTATATGTGATTTGTGTGTGTTTGTGTGTATGTGTTGCTCTAGGGTTCCTAAAAAATCATGTTCCAGACCTACCTTTTGACTTAAAAGTGGATGATGGTGAAATAAAACCATGTTCTATTACATATGGGGTGTTAAGTGAATAACTGTATTTGCCTACTTACATATGTGCAGTACTGTTGACTGAAATGTAAATATTGTGACTGGAAATTCATTTATTTCCTTTGTGTTGCTACGTTAGAAACCACTGAAAGATCTTTCCCT